CCAGAAACAATTTTTACTTCCCCAGTATAATGTTTGAAAAATATAGTTCCTAATATTCATTTTTGTATAAATATCAATACAACATGTTTTTTTTTAAATGTTTTTTTGTAATTCAGTATTTTTTAAGTTTCCAGGTTCCTGGTGTGTATCTGCATGCGTCAGATAATGAACTCAAGCCTTCATTACCGTGTAAACATGCTTTTCAATCCTTCCTTCACATTCTTTTCAAACTAAACTTTGCTTTAAACTGTTGCGTGCTTGGAAAAATATAAATTGTAATGTTAAAAATCTAAAAAAAGCTTGACAGGTTAAAAACTTAAGATAAATCACAAGATAGAAGTCAATGTCACAAATAAATAACTTTTATTTTAGAGTCACAGTATGTTTATACAAGATAATACTATTAATATAATGTGACTTTTCTAGAGAATCATTATACATAGTTATTTTATTCAGGGTTTCCACAGTCTGACATCATTTCAGAATTCCCTGACTTTTAACTGACTCAGGATTAGTTTTCCCTGACAAAATAAATGCAGCAACAAGACAATAATAATAACATAACAGGTCATCAATCTAACATGTTTAGCTCTATAACATTTAAATGCACCTCTCCAATTTCTAAGAATTAAAAAATGTATGAACATTTTTTAATGTATGACCTGCATCACTGTACAAAAGACTGGCGCATGGCATACAATTATGCCAATTTTCCTAATCCCTGACAAATAATTTTTAATCTAGGGTTATCTGGGTGGTGGGTGTGTCTGATTCGTGCCAATTCCTGGACAAAAATCACGCCATCTGGCGGAAAATCTTGCGGCTTTTTCAAATCACGCGAGAATGTGTACAAAACAACAAAAATGGCACCGGCAACGCATGCGGGTCCTTTTTTAACCGAATGTCGGTGATTTAAAAGCAGTTTTGAATGATAAATAATATTTTTTTTGAAATTTTTAAATTTGTACTCTCCCGACAATAAAAACTACTTGCCCCGGGCGATCGGGTGATGGTTAACATCGAGCCCTGGATGATGTTTGCAGAATCTTTGTTTTGCTGTAGGCCTCCTCAGACTCTTAATGTCAGGGGTGCTGAAGAGTAAAAGAGGAGGATTATGAGGATAGTAGTGAGATTAAGGATGACGAAGACTACTGGGCACTCGCAGACAGACAAGAAGAGGCAGAGCTGGAGACTTGGAGATGTTCAGAGGGAGTGATCCAAACGGGCAAGATTAAAAGAGTGAGTCAGAAATGATCAAAGAGGAAGGAGCTGCAGAAATATCTGGAAACGCATTTCTACTCAAATGTTGTGCAATTCTAGGGCAGATACTTCTGGAGCCTGTTTTGAGTGGAAGGGAGTGTGCTGCAACAGACTGCTGCAATGATGATGTGATTCTACAGACTGAGAGCGGTCTATGATGCAGTGAACCAATCCAGGACAGGCAGAAGAACAACCAAAACAGAAATACCCAAACGAGGACAGTTACTCACAGATCAATGCGGTTAAAGTGACATTTTTATTGCCAAAGGCTGCAGAAATTCCAGATCAGGAGATTCTATAGAACCAGCTTCCTCAATCCTTCACATTTTAGACGTCTCTGCATCCACGTCTGCATCAAATAACCAAATTAGCTCCTCTAAATGCCGTAAAGATCTCGCGCCTCCTGCTGTATTATGAAACATCCATCCATCATCCATTATCTGACACGCTTGTCCCAACTGGGGTCGCGAGGGGTGCTGGTGTCTATCTCCAGCTCTCAATGGGAGAGAGGCGGGGTACACCCTGGACAGGTCTCCAGTCCATCGCAGGGCAACACAGAGACAAACAACCATTCACACACACACTCACACCTAAGGAGCTCATGTTTTATATAATCTTGGTATATGCCTGAAATAAATGACTAATTTCATCTTAACTTGGCCTTGAATCATCCAAAGATTAATTAAATCAAAGCATCCTGGATGAGCAGGTAAACAGCGGATGATGAACATACGTCTGAAGGAGGAAGATGCCAGCAACGTTGAAGGCATTTCTTCGATAGTTGGGCTGTGATGTTAGCATGAAGCAGGTCTAAGCTGGGTTTAAAAGGTCCCAATCACTTTAAAGTTCAATCTGTCCCTTCATCCGTTCTTCATCCAGATTGGTTCCTCGTCTGCCAAAGAAAGAGGAAGCATTTCGGGTCCAATCTGATTTAACCAGGCTATAATCTGTGATTTCCTCTCCCTCTGACCTTCCCACTGGAAATGACATTTGTTTTGGCTTATCTTTCTGGCCGAACCGAGGACACTGGTGCTGGACGTAGAGGCGGTTCTAGCGTGATGAAACTGTCTTCTACCGTAAGCAATCACAACTAACTGCTCCAACTGGGTCCAGTTAGACTACAGCACAAACAAACCATCCAGAAAAAACACCTGATCATTTCCAAAAAAGTTCCATCAGGAAACCAGGGACTTAAAAAAGTGTCATTTTTTATCACTCAACTGCAAACAGTAAAAGCATTTAGTAATAATGAAACATGCAGGGGGTTTAAAAGTGGGGCTCAGGGCCCTCTGGGGGGTCATGAGACACCAAGTTAGGGATCAATAAATGGTTTTCAGAATCATTTTAATAGGATCAACCTGCTAGTTAGTGAGTAAAAATATATATCAAAAATAATAATAAAAATGTAATAAATTAATAAAATAAATGTGATATCAAATAACTAGATGGAACATTTATTTCTGTATCTAATAATGATTCAAATATTAAATATACCACGAAATTGTAAAATGCCCAATAATTGTCCTTTAAAATAATAAGAAATATAGATATAAAATCATGAACCAAGTAATTTTGATGTCATTTAACAAATTATTTTTTTTCAAACTGAATATATTTACTTGACTTCATTTGTATAAATAAATATTGAGTTAATTAATTATATGTAAGTTTAGGGGGTTGCATTACAGAAGGAAATTGTTTTGATTGAGAGAATAAATACAATTCTGACAACGCTGACATTTTTAGGACGTTTCAAACCCCTTATGTCACCAAGTAAAAAAAAAAAAAAGCAGTTTTATTCCTGCTGACAATCAGCAGTAAATCAAGCTGAAGTCAGGAAGCTTTAGTAGCAACAGAACTTTGATGAATCCCTACCTCGATATCCCAAAGAAATATACTCAAAATACTGCTGGACATTAATACCTTTATTCTACTGTTATAATACAGTAATAGACATCTTCAAAGCTAGAGATAGCAACTCTACATTCAAAAAATTATCTAAAAAAATATTGATTCATGAACTCTTTAAAAGATTTGTGAGAGAATAAAAACAAAAAGTGGAAAACAAAGATGAGGATCTGTAGCTTTCCTGAAAATACTGGTAACATTTCATTATGTTGTCTGGTGAGCTTCATGTTTCCATGGAAATCTGGTTTTGATGGTATAATTATCCAATTTATTATTTGTGGACTGGACAGACGGATGGTTGCAGGCGGGATTTACCATTATGCAACACTAGGCAGTTGCCCCAAGTTCAAGGGGGGCCCATAAAACTCTGTTTAAATGTATGGTTAATACAACTATTCCTTATTTGTGAACATTAATTTTGTTTTTGATAAAAATCCTTTCGCTAAAATGCCATCAGAATGCTTATAATATTAAGTGTGTCTCAGCCCCCCCTTCAGTGTCCACCATATTGGATCAGTCCATTTGCTGCACATGTTCAGAAAGGTCCAAACAGACAGCAGCAAACCATTTGAAAACAAACCATGCAAAGAGCAGTGTTGCCAACTTAGCGCTTTAGTCGCTATAAATAGCCACTTTTCAGACCCCTCTAGCACTTTGATTTCTAAAAAGCTCCTAGCGCCAAATCTAGTGGCGACAACATCTAAAAGCAGCGAACTCTGCTCTCCAGAGCAAGTAGATTGGTAACCCCGCCTCCTGCTCTCCTCTATCTTGTCTGCTGTCATGATTCATGCAGCTATTATTTCATCCAAATGAAAAATGGAGAACAGATAAGCAGATCATGGCTTGTCTACAGTGAAAAGAAGGACTGGGTTATTTACTTTGGCCTTTTTGGAAACACAGGAAGGAGCAATCAGCTAAGTGAGCTTAGTGCTTGGAAAAAATCTTTCATTCCTTTAGAGACAGCATGAAAAGTCAGCTGAGTACAAAACATAGAGAGGAAAACAAGAACAAGAGAGGGACAAAACCTAGAACAGATAATGGATGTCTATTCTATTAACATTTCTCTATCTGGATAACGGGTCTGTTTTATATGTTGTCTTCCCAATTAAGAGGGTCCCATGCCTGACTTTGCCTCGGGCGCCAAATTTCCTACATCCGCCTATGTATGAATAGATGGATGGATGGATGGATACAGATGCCTTTAGAAGGACTTGTAACAATGACTGGAAACAATGGTGGACCAGCAGAGACTCCAGTTCAACCAGTATGGGTCACATCTGCGCCCTTAAAGAGACCTGATTGAACTGGACGTGTTAAAAGTGATTTGTGAGGCAGCTGCGGGGCGAACACGCCCATGTGTGTGTGTGTGTGTGTGTGTGTGTGTGTGATGCTGCCAGGACGCCACGCCTTGCCTGTGTCAGCCAGCCCGGCCTCTGAGCCTCGGAGCTGCAGGCTGTCAGCCGGGCTTCCCGGCGAACATCCAGGCCGTTACGTTAGTGCGTCCATCCGCGGCCCCGCGGGGCCCAGGAGCCAAACAAACCCACATCCACACAATGAGCCACAGGGCTCCCAGGCAGCCGCGCATCTGCAGCCGCAACTCAGAGACATTAAATCAGCTGAGGTGAATGGGAGCCTTTTCTCCGTGCCCCCCTCCCTGCCTGTCCTTCCCCCGCATTCACACGCAGCCGCCCCGCCGCATTAATTGGCTTTTTTTTTTTTGCGGTGCTGTTAATTAAGATGAGGCTCTATGCGTTCGCAGCACAAAGCAGATCTGCAGCGTTCAGGTTGTTTCTGAAGGCAGGAGCAGAAGCTGGGATATGAAGGCTACTCACTGAGAGGGTCTGATCCAGACGAGATTCCTGGGAGGAAAAACCCGCAGCCAGCAGCGGGGAGACGGAGCGCAGCTCTCCGCGGGGATTTTCTGCCGGTTTGTTCACCGACTGCCCTTTTTCCCAGATATATCCCAGATCCTGGCGATTCCCCCTCTGCCTGCCTGCCAGCCACACTCTGCGAGGCTACAAGCTGAACAAAGGGAGCCGGCAGGATCCGCGCGAGACTACCAAAATAAAAGCTGCGCCCTGTAAACATCTGAGAGTCATTTCCATTTCAGCAACAACCCAGTGCACCTAAAGGGGGAAACATGACATGATTGAACTCTAAAATCCTGATCTCACGAACACTAACGAAAGAAAGAAAGCAAACCCCCCACAGCATTATAGGTACTTCACTGTACTTTAGAATGGCCATGAGACATTTGTCCACATCTTCTTTGCTTAATAACAAACTAAGCATGAATGTTTATTAAAAAAAAGATCTAAATCTGAGTTTCAATTGACGAAAATCCTCCCAGCAGATTATAAAAGCTCATCATATTATTTACTGTGATCAGACAGAGAAGGTTTGTGATCATAACCAGGCATGATCACCTACAGAAAGTGTGTTTAACTGCCTTATTCTCCTGTCTGTCTTATCAACGATAATATAATACAAGAAGGTGGCCAGTGACACATCATATCCTAAAGAAATGTGAACTTTAAATATTAAAAATCCTGATCAACCTCAGAAAATGTAAAGAAAAAAAAAGGTACCTGACTTCTTTAAATTATCATTAATTTGCTACAAACGATGGTGCAACAATAGTCTTTGATAAAATGGTTCGGGGAACTAAATAGAGTTTAATACAAAATAAGACAAGTTGATCTATATAAATTTACTCATTCATTGAGTATTTTATAACGGAGTTGAATCTTTTTAATTTCCGTTTTTTTGAACACTAACTTAACACATTTTTTATTTCCAATCCGGATCCCAAAAACCGCCTCGCATCCTGCCCATCCCAGAAATTAGCCTCAACCAATCAGCCTTCATTAAGTCACCTATTCTATTCTATTCTATTCTATTCTATTCTATTCTATTCTATTCTATTCTATTCTAATGATATATGCATTGTGTGTAAGACAAGAGGTGAAGTCAGAATCTGGTCCATTTTCTAATTTCTTATTAAGTTCAAGTCTGACCTCTAGTGGTAGGTTAAAGTATTACAGCTACTTTTGTGCCCCCAGGTCCAGCTTTTTATTATTCTCATACACTATATTGCCAAAAGTATTTGCTCACCTGCCTTGACTCACATATGAGCTTAAGTGACATCCCGTTCCTAATCCATAGGGTTCAATATGACGTCGGTCCACCCTTTGCAGCTAGAACAGCTTCAACTCTTCTGGGAAGGCTGTCCACAAGGTTTAGGAGTGTGTTTATGGGAATTTTTGACCATTCTTCCAGAAGCGCATTTGTGAGGTCGCACACTGATGTTGGACGAGAAGGCCTGGCTCTCAGTCTCCGCTCTAATTCATCCCAAAGGTGTTCTATCGGGTTGAGGTCAGGACTCTGTGCAGGCCAGTCAAGTTCATCCACACCAGACTCTGTCATCCATGTCTTTATGGACCTTGCTTTGTGCACTGGTGCACAGTCATGTTGGAAGAGGAAGGGGCCAGCTCCAAACTGTTCCCACAAAGTTGGGAGCATGGAATTGTCCAAAATGTCTTGGGATGCTGAAGCATTCAGAGTTCCTTTCACTGGAACTAAGGGGCCAAGCCCAGCTCCTGAAAAACAACCCCACACCATAATCCCCCCTCCAACAAACTTTACACTTGGCACAATGCAGTCAGACAAGTACCGTTCTCCTGGCAACCGCCAAACCCAGACCCGTCCATCAGATTGCCAGATGGAGAAGCGCGATTCGTCACTCCAGAGAACGCGTCTCCACTGCTCTAGAGTCCAGTGGCGGCGTGCTTTACACCACCGCATCCGACGCTTTGCATTGCACTTGGTGATGTATGGCTTGGATGCAGCTGCTCGACCATGGAAACCCATTCCATGAAGCTCTCTGCGCACTGTTCTTGAGCTAATCTGAAGGCCACATGAAGTTTGGAGGTCTGTAGTGATTGACTCTGCAGAAAGTTGGCGACCTCTTCGCACTATGCGCGTCAGCATCCGCTGACCCCGCTCCGTCAGTTTACGTGGCCTACCACTTCGTGGCTGAGTTGCTGTCGTTCCCAAACACTTCCATTTTCTTATAATACAGCTGACAGTTGACTGTGGAATATTTAGGAGCGAGGAAATTTCACGACTGGATTTGTTGCACAGGTGGCATCCTATCACAGTTCCACGCTGGAATTCACTGAGCTCCTGAGAGCGACCCATTCTTTCACAAATGTTTGTAAAAACAGTCTGCATGCCTAGGTGCTTGAATTTATACACCTGTGGCCATGGAAGTGATTGGAACACCTGATTCCAATAATTTGGATGGGTGAGCAAATACTTTTGGCAATATAGTGTATGTAGATACTTTTCTGTTTTGTTTGTTTGTATTATTATTTTTTTTTTTTTTTTTGCTCGGTTTCTATGTTTATTGTAAAAAAAAAAATAACATCAGTGCATTGTTTTTAAAAATTCTTACAAAAAAAGAAAAAAAATTGAAACACTTTGTATGTCTTCATTTGGAAAATTCAAATATTTTTTCCGGTCTTTTCTTTCTCAACTCAAACAGATATATAAATAAATTTAGAAAAAAAAGGAAACTTACCACTGATAATTATTTTGATATCTAGATATAGGTCTCTAATATGGAGGGTGCAAGGGCCAAAATAAAATAAGTACATAACTTATGAAATAGCTATTTCAATGTGCCATGTGTGTATTGAAAATGGAAATACATGAATTTTTTATAAACATATAACAAATTATTCTTCAGTGCTGGTAAGAGGGATTCAGAGTGAAACAATAAAGCAAATGAATTATGTCCTGGCTTCATTCTATGTGGCTCTCCATTGTTTACTTTCCTGATTTCTGTCGCACAAATGACATTATCATTGCTAAGCCACAGCTGCGGGGAGACGGAGGCTACACAGCTGTGGAGGGGTTAGACCAGCTTTTTCTGCCAATGAGAAGGAAGCCAAATGCCATTATTGAAAAACACACTTTAAAGTCCTATTTTCAATGGAAAAGAGGCTTTATTGACCCAAAAAAATAATTATTTTCTCTTCTTAAAGAGAAATTGTGTCCAATTTGATAAATTAAATGGCACATTTAAATTATTATTTCATAAGTATTTTTTTATTTTATTGTGACACTCGTCAAATCGTAGTGTGTGGTGTGAAACATGAACCTCCACCATATTCCAGTGTTTTGGAGCATTAAGCAGGTTGTGCCCTTATGTAACCCTATCTTCCCAATAACTCTAACTAGCTCTATTTTTCTCTATTGAAAAAGCTCCACTGCAGCATGATGAGTTTTAGGAGTGTCAGAACAATCTTTGTCTGAATTCAAAAGCACTCCACACTTTTCAGATGTCTCTTTTATACTTGAAAATTCTGTATCATTTACAGAATTAAATGAAACAGAAGATTAATGTGTTAATTAGAGACTTGATTGAAGTTTCATGGTCATATTATGGCAAAATCTTTGTGAAAATAGGATCAGCTCAGCCTCTGCAGCCTGATGTGTTACATTCAAACCAATGAAACTAATCATAAGTTCCTGATCAGAGCAAATAATAAAAAAATAAAAAAAAGTTCGGCACATAAGAAAAGGAAACAAATAATGATTTGTCCTTTAATGCAATAGAAATGACAATGAAAAGTTTAAAAAGTTGGTTTCAGTTATTCTCACAGTTATTTGCAGGCAGTTGTCTGCTGCAGAAGGGTTTGCGGTTGAGAGGAAGGCAGAAAATGATTAAAGCAGTAATTCGAGCTGCAGGTTCACAGGCATGTGTGTGTGTTTGTGTGTAACCTTGAGTTTCATCATGTAGAAGAGGGACACCCCCTGTTGGCTCACAGATCGCTGATGGAAAAAGGAATTCAGTATCTCCACCCAGTCTGTTTCTGTTTGACTTATTTTCATCATAAAAAAATATTTAATCTGTATCACATATTTTTCCTTTCCAACCCACACCTCAGATGCTGCCTTTAAGCTGTGAACACTGGTTTATGCTCATTTCTTATCACATTTGAACCATTCTTCTTCTTCTTCTTTTTTTTATTATTAATTTTGCACTTGAGACCGGTGGGGTTGGGGGGGCTAGAAATTTTCATAATCAGGGGCTTAGCCCACAAAATATTTCTTAGGATGCAGGAGACTTGGTACAGCAGAAAAAGTAAGAAGTTATTGCTGCATTCCACCTATTTGTTAAGATTTACTGCATATTAAATTAATATTTACTACTGAATTTTTCAGAGAAATGTTCTTTTCTAAGATTATTTAAATAAGAAGTAGACCAGAGTCTGGATGTCTTGTGCAGAAAAAGTTTAATACCGTAGTTGCAGGATCCGGAAACATGCAAAGCAAGACGTTTTGTATAAAGAACTATTGAATCACCATTTTTACCAGATTTTGTTCCACCTCTGTCTCTTCATTCTGGCCCGTTCTTCTATCTGTGTTGTCTCTCACTGTTTGTGCTGCATTCATACATAAACCAGAGCAAATTGCTGTTATCCAATGCTATTTAATAACGTTAACAGACCTGTCTGCAGAAACAAATTAAAGTTTCAGGGGTGCAACCTTTAAGAACAAGCTTTTTCTTTTTTCCCGGGCTTAATTTTTCTGTGAATACTCCTTCAATGCTTAGAGAATAAAATATATCAATAAAATAGCAAAATAAAAAAAGCTTTAAAAAACAAATTGTGTAATGCTGCGCTCATTCTAATGAGTCAAAAGTTGAAAATCAGTCTAAACATATACTCTGATAAACATGAATGATTCATACTAATAGAGTTACCTACTGCACCGCAGCAGGAGTCAGCCATGCACTGTTTTTCACACTTCCATGAGGAAAACAACTCAGGATTATTGCATCAGAAACAGAGGCGGGTAGTAACTAGTTACACTGACTCATTTACCGTCAAAAAAAAAAAAAAAAAAAAAACTTT